TTGGTTGTCGAGCATTGTATTGCAGAAAAGTTTTGGAGCTTCGACATATTTGGGTCATCTTAGTCATAGGTTGTCGACTGCTACGTATGAAGATTTTGGATATGATGGAGCTACTTCAGATTTTGGGTTACGTCAGATATTTGGTTGCCCAGCATTTGGTCATATCGAGGATGTGAGATTTGATCTGATTGCATATTTAGGATTCAGAAGCTCATTTGGTTATCAGTTGGGAGACTCTGATTTTGTTCTGAGCAGGTATGTCACTTTTGACTCTCATCAAGTAGAGAGTGTTGATCAGATCGTTAGGATGCCGCAGCGGGTGGAGGGTGATGCTACTCCACATTAGGTAGAGATTACTCCACATACTCCAGATTATACTATATCGTTTGGGATTCTAACTGAGATGACACAATTTGGGGATCATTTGGATTTGGATACAGATGATAAGTTGGTTGATTCGAGTGTAGCTGGTGGACATAGTTTAGATTTGGATATGGTCGTTGGTTCACCTCAGGTGGACGTGTTTAGATTATTTTACTTTGGAGCCATTAGAAGAGCTATCAGTCGCAGATTTGGTAATGATGTTGGAGAAGGGTTGCAAACTCTTTTATTGGATTGAGGGCCTTTGGAGGCCATTTGGTGAACTACATGAGGCTTGATTCCTTGGGCAAGAGGACACGTAGGTAGTCGGTTATGATGCAGCCGGTTTGATGAGTTGATATCGATATTTGGAGAGTGTTCGCATTCTTATTTTGGTTCTCGACTTGTTATAGATTGAGTCCACTATTGTGAATTGTTTCACTTCATACTTGACGCAATAAGTGAGACGCTTGGTTTGGTTGGTGTCGGCTCAGTTTTGGAAACACTTCGCTGAGGTGGAGAATTATTGAATAGCAAGTTCCTAATACATTTCCTAATTTATTTTGGTACCAGGTTATTAGAATTCCTAATATATTTTGATAATAGGTTATTAGGATTCCTAATCTATTTTAGTAACATGATTCCTAATCTGTTTTGGTAACAAGTTATTATGATTCCTAATCTATTTTGATTTTGGTTTTAGAATTCCTAGTATGCTTTTGGTTTTAGGATTTCTATATATAAGAACACGTTTTAGGTTTGGTGAGTAGCGAAGGGGATATTTGGAGCACAGAAAAGAGGTATTTTCTGGAGCTATTCGTTAGGGTTTTGTTTGGAGAGAAATATAGCTTTGTTGGTGAGATTAATTGGTGAGTTTATGTGATTTTGTAATCTCAGTTTGTACTCTTCTTCTTTATTAGTGAAAATCTCATCTCCTTCTTCCCCCGTGGACGTAGGTAACTTGCCGAACCACGTTAAAATTGGTTGTTTAAGTTTGTGTCATTATTTTGTATTGTTTGGCCTTCTCTCGGTGTTTGTTTGATTTGGTCTCTCGAAGCACATCGGTTTGATTTTGGTTTCTGCCGTGCACAACAAATGGTATCAGAACCCAACACTACGGGCGTCGGTGGAGATCCTCGAGGAGGGGATGACGATGATCGTCAAGAGGCTGAAGGATGTGGCGGCGAGAAAGAGGGATTTTGAGGAGCAGATGGACGCAATTCGGGCTCTCACTTCCATTTTAAAACCCTATCACACGCGAACAGCAACCAAAGGTAAAAACTTGAAAGATCCACTACAACAAATTGCACTTTTCCTGACGCTTATTCCCGACGCATGGTTAAAAACATCGCTAAAAATTATGTTTTTCCCGATGCTTTTAGTTAGCGTCGGCAAAAAATATATATTTCCCGATGTTTATAATTAACGTCGCTAAAAGTGTATATTTTTAGCAACATTTTAACTTAGCGACGGTAAAAGTTATGGATTTCCCGATGTTTTTTTATTTTCGTCGGCAAAAATATAGCTTCTTAGCGACGTTTTAGGATTAGCGTCGCTAATAGTGTGCATTTATCGCGACGTATTAGGCTAACGTCGCTAAAAGTATTCTTTTCCCAACGTTCCTCCTTGGCGTCGCTAAAGGTTATATTTTTACGACGCTTCTTTATTTATCAGCGTCGCCAAACACACTCCCCCCCCTGAAATTTCCCCCACTCGTACGAAGGAGGGAAAATTCCCCCCATTTATTTCCACGAAGAGCTAAAAATACCCCACCCCCGTTCTCTCTCTCATCAGAAAATTCCCCCCATTTATTTTCTCTGATCTGAAGTTCGCCGCCTTCGTCGAAGCTCACCGCCGCCATCGTCAGAGATCGCCGCCTCCGTCGGAGTTCGCTGCCTCCGTCGAAGTTCATCGCCGCCTTCGTCGAAGTTCACCGCCGTCTCCGTCGGATCTCGCCGCCTCTCCTCCTCCTCCTCCCGCTCAACGAGGAGGATCGTGAGATCGAGCTGCAGGAACATTTCAAGGTACTGAATTTTCCCTATTTTTTTTGGTATCTTATTAGTTTTCATTTGCTTTGAGTTGTAACCCTAGGGTTTCTATTGGGGCATGATTCTTGAATCTGTGCTTTTATTGTCTACGAAATATTTGAGGAAACAAGTGAGTTTTTAACTTCATCTCATGGGTTGATTCTTTAATTATACACATCTTACCTTCTTAGAGTATTTGATTCACTTACTTATGCTCTAGCCAGAGAACCCCTATTAAGAAACTGAAGTTGTGCATATTCTAAGGATGTTAGCATCTTGTGTTATTTCTTGTTCCTTCTGGGTACATGCAAATACAAATGCAATTGAAAATGATATAATATATACACCTTCGATATAATTCTCATTGTGAGTTTTTGTGATCAAAGTACTTCATTGAAATGATAGGCTCCATAAATCATTGACATCCACATCATTTTTTGTCTCCTTGTAAAGGTTTCACAAACACAGTGAGAATTTGTAGGCATAAAAGTAGATATTTAAGATAATGAGAAATTTGAAGGACAAGGAAAACATTTTAGTTGATGACACTTTAGATTTAATAGGTTATCTATTAAGATTCTTGTTTAGAAATTAGTATTTTACTTTTAATTCCAGCTTTTGGAGGGATCGAATGTGCAAAGAGTTAGATCTCGAAAAATTTCAGACAACTTTGGGTTGTTATCGATGAATATGGACAAAGTATGGCCATTTCGATATGAAGTTGTGCAGCTCGGATACACGAAGCAGACTTGACACTTATAGCTATAGACGTTCTTTCCTATGTACCTGTTTTGATATCTCAGTGTATCCTGTATGTATCAACATGCCTATGTTTGTGTCTGTGTTTTCTCGAATCCAACAGATATCTTTAGGAGTAATAAATAAGTCACCCAATTGAGCTGAATATAAAGAGATAAAGGAGAACAATCATTTAAGGTACGATCCAATGATAACAGATCTGTATATGACCAAAAATCACAAGGAAATATCCATTGGGATATATATATCGAACTAAAGGGAAGAAATTTCCATATAGACAAAAGAAAAGGCTGTAAATTTCACCACATTTTTGGATAAAACCAAAAGCCTTATTCCAATATTTAGCATGGAAGAGAACTTTTTTTTACATCTGAAGATAGCTTAGGAAGTTTGGCTCAGGTTCTATATTGTTGCCCATTCAAAGGCTAAGGTGTGAAGTGTAAAGATAGCTTAGGAAGTTTGGCTCAGGTTCTATATTGTTGCCCATTCAAAGGCTAAGGTGTGAAGTGTATGTTCTGTCTTAAATGAACAATGAAGTGGTGTGAAGTGTATGTTCTGTCTTAAATGAACAATGAAGTGGACTTGGTTTATTTGAAACAGAATTTCCCATTAACCCTTTCCCCTCACAGTCTCTTCCATACTCTTTCCATTGGTTCTCTCTTTATATTTGCATTGACAAATGTGTTTAGCCACCAACAGCACAAAAAACCAAGCTTCAGGGCAGCATGAATTATGTTAACTATGGGGATGGTTTTGATTCATTGTGTTGGTAATGTATTGATTTAGTGTGATATAAGAAAGGAATTACTATTATTTAGATGGAAACATCCTTAGAATAAGCTAGAACAATTAGATATTTTCATGTTTTGTGGACTGGTATTTGATATATGAAATTTTTGAACATTGTGAAGATCAAATCTAACCACATTTGTATGATTGATGTTTTGCCTTGTTCTCATCCTATATCATGATTCTTCACTCAAGATTTTGAAGTTATTTAGCCATGGTAATTGGGGGCTGTTTGATAGCTGCAGGAAACTGAGTAGGAATGAACAGTGGATGATTTTGGATAAACAAAAGAATAAGAATAATAAAATTACAGACAGAGGAGGGCTTCACACCCAAAGGCTCCACACCCAAAAGCAACTCACATGCCTAGCGCTTGACATGCACTCAAAAGAGATTTCTCATAATCAAATTTTATTAATTATTGTCTGCCTCCAAAAGAGAGGATACAAGTTATTTATAAAGAAACCAACAAACCATAATCTGATAAAAATGAATAAGTTCCTAACAACATCAGATCTAAAGAAATGCAAAATAAAACTAACTAATTATCTAAACCATATACCAACTGCATTATCCTAACTCTAATAGGATAGAACAAAATCCTATTAGATGAGTTAATTAGCCATGCCAGCTACGAGTATGAAATTAATTATCACCTTAATTAACTTAGATGAGTTACAGGCGATGCATAAAATTAGCTAGCCGTCGACGAGTCAATCCCTCTGTTGCCTTGAGTTACCACTTGAAGTTAATTTTTGAGAGAATAAGACTGAATGAAAGGTTACCGATTTTTTATTTGTTATTGCATATTCATTTGAGATGCTACTTTTTATTTTATGATAATAAATTAATATGATTTTATATTCACATCAATTGTAATCAGGTATGGATAAGAGTTGGATGACACTGATTAGGGATAGATTAAGTCTGGGGTATCGGGCCGGAGTTGATGCTTTTATTAAATTTGCAAAAGTAAATGCAGGCGGGTTCTTTCAGGAACTCAAAAATACTAGAATTTTGATAAAGATTTGACATGGGTTTTATTGCTCTGTTTGATTATTGAATAGGACCTGGTTGTTCTTCAGTTGGGGTTGGTGCATTCTCAGAGAATGGGCCTTTTAGACCCAGTGGGCAGATGCTAGTCAGAAATGAGTACAGTTGGAACAGAGGTAACAAAGTAGATATCTCTTACATTCTACTTTGATCTAAAATTGTTGGAAAATATAAAAAATTAATCGTGATTCTGCAGAAGCGAATATGTTGTTTTTGGAGTCACCAGCAGGAGTTGGGTTCTCTTATTCCTCTGATAACTCCTATTATGGTGGAGTTGATGATAACATGACTGGTATATTCTCTATTTCAGTAGAATTTAGTATTGTATCATTGCATTTTGCCAGATATATAATAATTTGGAGGAATTCTGAAATTTTTTTTTGGTTTGATCCTTAAGCTATGGACAATCTTGTGTTTCTTCAACGCTGGTTTGAGAAATTCCCACAATATAAGAATAGGGATCTCTACATAGCTGGAGAAAGCTATGCAGGTCACTACATTCCTCAGCTTGCCAATCTCATGGTTCAATTCAACAGGAGAGAAAAAAATCTTCAACCTCAAAGGAATTGCTGTGAGTAATTCTGAATGTTGCTTCTTAGAGAATTGTAAACTTTGCTACTTCATGAAAAGAAACTGCTATGAGTGAAAAGATGTACTTTACAGGATCAAAGTTTATGGCTGAATAAATGCTTGTTATCTCTATTTATTATAACATTGTTAAAAAATAAGTGAACTTATGTTTTTTCAGTTGATCCACAAATGTTTTATATTCATAAGTCTGTAGATGAATCTTGATTATAAGTGAGCATAATTATTTATGGAGAACTATTCTTTCAAACAGAAAGGTCTTGGTTATCTTGTTTCCGCCTCTAGTTGTGATTTATTATTCTTTTAGTTGTGCTGTTTTTTGCAGCAATCCATTGCAGTATTTCCTGTATATCTACAAAGTTCTGATGCTTGTTTTATATCATTTACATAAATCAGTATAGATCTGTCTATAACCTTTGTAAATATATTAACAGCTCTATGTAATTTCTTAGAGATGATACTGTGAAAACGGCGAAGGAATTGTGAAAAACGTAAAGAATAACCCAAAACAGACTCCACCGCACCCTGGTGTGGTATCTGCCATGGGTGTGGTAGAATCTGTCCTGCACCACACCCTCTGTCACACCCACGATGCAGGGTGTGGCAGAATCTGTCCTGCACCATACCCTCTACCACACCCATGGTGCAGGGTATGGCAGACTCGTTTTTAGAATCCTCCTTTGTTTGGGAATCCTCCTTTGTTTGGGATTGTGTTTTATTATAAATAGGACCACATTTTTAGGGTTTCTTAAGGAGAGAAAAGGAGAAAATTAGCATTGTTTTGAGCACTTTGAGAGGGAGATATTATGAGGGAGTTAAAAGCTTTGGTTAGGGTTATATTTGAGTGATTTTGTGAGTTGTAACCCGTTGTATTTCTCCTCCATATAGTGAAATCTCCCTATCCTCTCCCCGTGGACGTAGGCAATTGCCGAACCACGTATATCTCTGTGTTTGGTTTGATTTGTTGTAATTGGCTTGGTTTGTGCAAGTGTGTGGCTTTCTTCTTCCGTGATCTCAAGTTCATTGTGTGTGCGTGCAACGCTTCCACATAGGCGCGCGACAGATACTTTATATGGAACTTGTTTATTAGCGTATGTTTTTAGTTGTTTATAAAATTCAGTTTTTATAAACAAACAGTGCATGTACATGTTTTGCATGACAATGCAATTGATTTCAGGAACCACCGTCTTGCTTATTTTGCACGACAATGCAGTTGATTTGCTTAAAGCCATTTGACCTCATGCTTATATGTATATTCATGCTTAACTGTACTTGTAGCAAAGATTTGATGTCGGGGACTATGAGAACGACCTAGTCATCCAAGATTCCATAAAGAAAAAGTGTCGAAGTATATATAGAAATTGGAAGCATGAGTTGCACGCCTATTATCTTGGTTTAATAGAGAAGGGAGTACCTGATCCCAAGAACCATCCACCGAAGCGTGTGGAGCCTAATGATTGGGTATCGATGATCGATGTGTGGGAAACTGAAGAATGGAAGGTATAGATCTCAAATCACTTTATTAAATTGTCATGTTAATTTTAGAATCGAGATGAGGTCAGACTTACATTTAATTTTTCATTATTAGACTTACTAGTATTTAGACCCGTGCAAAGCACGGTTTCTAAAATATTTTCTGCAAATATTGAGCATGTTACCAAAATAAATTATTCTACTTTAGATATGAAGTAGAATAATTTTCCTTGTTTAGTTGTTCAAGCTTTTCCTCAGTACACTCATTTAATGAAATTACAATATATGTTCACTAATTAGTTTACTTATTTTGTATAACACGAAGTATTTGAAAACAATTAAAAGTGATAAAATGCAGGCTAAAGCTTTCTTCATATGTGCAATTCCCCTCATTAGCTTCATGTCCGGACAAAGTTGATCTAACTGTGATTACCTACAACCTTTTCCTTAAGATTACCCTTTCCATTTGATAAATTACTATCAAACCAATGCAAGATCAAGAAGAAAATACAAAAAAAGAAAAGAAAAGATCACGCAAAATCTGGAGACTATCTGAACTTTGTTTATTCAAAAAGGACATTGCGGGAATATGTGAATACTTCATAAATACTACACTCTGGAGACTATCTGAACTTTGTTTATTCAATATAGTGTGAGATATTGCATGTTTATATTTGCGTGGTGGGATAGCTTCAGTTAAATAGTGATGTATAAACTCTTGGATATTTATGTCGATTATATGTTGATTGTTTGTTTGAAGGAATGTCTTCTGCGTCTCTAAACTGTCTCATATCCTGATCCGACTATTCTTCTGTCAAGTTTGCATTGGTAAGAAGACATATCCTAAGGATAAATGCGCAAAGTGAAGAGTGGGAGAAGCTCTTCCTATTTGAATTCAAATTCGAAATCTACATATAGCTAATAGCTTGGGCATCATTTAAACTAAAGCATCTAAAGTCTGACGACTAGAGCTTTTCATAGTCCTTTCCACTCCCCTAACCATACTATGATATACATTCCAGTGCTTTGATCACATTAACTCCATTGACATTGTCTTATAGGTTTTTGATCTTTAGGGGACTATTTTGAATGTTTTTTCCACCTTTGGCATCAGAAGTGTAACTCATACAAGTTTGAAGACATTTGGCATCAGAAGTGTTTCAAATACATACTTAATGTTCTTTTTATCTTTCTAGTTCACAGCCAAATATCCTCCATAAATCTATAATCCAAAAATTGAATCACTATTTGAATGTTCTTTTTATCTGTGCAGTGAATCATGGAATTCAGCTAATGTTTGCCAGAGTAGCATGTTTTGCTCAGCTTGGTGAGGAGAATCAGTTACACTCGGGTATGTAGAATTTGCTCTATTCAGTACATTTCTCTGGATATTGTTGTTTTGGATTTGTTTCCTATGGCCTAGACGGGGAAATGCTTTCCGGGAGATTATGTTGTTGTTATTGGTTTTGTTGTACATTCCTACCAAGAAGTTCCTGTCCTACACTGTATGCGAGAGACAAACACTGTTGTAGATGCACTATCTAAACTGGGCCATGTTCTTCCTCAAATCCATTTGTTCTTTGTAATTAATAATACAAATTTGATATTGTTGTTTCTAGTTTTCTTGATGTAATCTGTTTTTGAGAGACTTTATGTACTTGGGTATGTAAGAGGAAGTTTGTAAATTAACGCTTTTAGCGCTCAAGGGGAAATGGAAAAATAGACTTTTATGTTGATGTGAATGGGATCAAATTTTTTTTTGGATGTTCAGATTCAGTGTAGGCTTGTATTTCACAGAGAATATATTATTTTTGGCGAAGCAAATTAGTGTCGATAAGCGTCAGTAAAAGTAACACTTTTACCGACGCTATATTTAGTCGCTAAATGTAACACTTTTGCCGACGACATATTATGTCACCAAAAGTAATATCTATATTTAGTCGCTAAATGTAACACTTTTGCCGACGACATATTATGTCACCAAAAGTAATATCTTTTAGCGACGCAATCTTGCGTCGGCAAAAAAGTAATATCTTTTAGCGACGCAATCTTGCGTCGGCAAAAATACACTTTTAGCGACGCGGAATGGAGCATCACTAAAAAGCTAATCTTTGGCGACGCATGGTTTACGTTGGCAAAAGTGTAGCTTTTAGCGACGCAGAATAGAGCGTCGCTAAAAGCTACACTTTTGCCGACGTAAATCATGTGTCGCCAAAGATAAGCTTTTTAGCGACACTCCTTTCCGTGTCGCTAAAAGTATACTTTTGCCGACGCATTACCCTTTGCCGACGTTAAGTATGTCGCCAAAAGTGCAAGATTTCCCGACGCCGTTTCGCATATGGAAAAAATCAGCATGCTTTTGCCGACGCAAAATAATATGCGTCGCTAAAAGATGTACTTTTCCCGACGTATGTCGCGTCGCTAAAAGTGTACTTTTGGCGACGCAGTGTATTTTCGTCGCCAAATACTTTCCTTGACGTACTTTTGGCGACGTGTTAGCGACGCTGTATTTTGCGTCGGGAAATATTTTTCCCGACGTTTTTTAAACATTTGCCGACATTTTTGTTTCATCGGCAATGTTGTATTTTGTTGTAGTGAAGAGACAAGTTTCAAAGTCAATCGAGAGAGAGGGAAGAGAGAGAAATGCAGAGCCCATAGGCATCGTCTTTATTGAGGCGATCTCGCCAAATGCTCGACCTTCTCTCTCACCACTGGAGCTTCTCGGTCACTCTGATCGCCGACCAAGACGATGATCTCCAAAACCAAGTCAGACTCTCTCTTCTCTTTCCAATTCCATTTCTCTCTTCAATTTATTTTATTTATTTACTTATTTGATGGATCCAGGTTCTGGTTGAAGGCAAAGCCAACGCTCGTGCCACGATCCTCAACATACCATCTTTCCTCAACGCTCTCACGACCAACATGGTATTGTTTGTTTCTTTGATGCTGATAAGGTGTTTGATTATTTGTCTAGTTGACCCTGTTGGGGATTCGAAACAATTAATCGAACATTTGCCCTTCCGGACCTTGTGTTGAAAGTAGGAAAGTAGGAATAAAACCACAAATAAAGATCTAACCTTGCAAAAACAGTAAAGGAGAAGAACACACAGATTTAACGAGGTTCGGCAACGTGCCTACGTCCTCGGGAGCCACACCACACAATCTCTTTATTAATTGAAGAAGAAAATACAAGCTCTCAAATAAGGGATTAATCTCTCTGAGATTCTCTCTCTCTCTTTGCAGTCAAAAAGCTCTCTTTTTGATGTAGTACAAACCCTAAAATCGTTTGGGGTATATATAGAATCCTGGTTGAAACAGAATCCTAAAAGGAACAGGACACTATCAAAAATACTCGCGGTCGACCAGTCCGGTCGACCGATCAGATTCCAGAGAGTTTGACGGTCGACCGGCGCGGTCGACCGATGTGAAAACCCGAGAGCAGTTTTCTTACAGGGTTTTGGCGGTTGACCGGGTCGGTCGACCGGGTCGGTCGACCGCGACCTGATCCAGGCTCTCCCAGCCCCCTGTGCACGTTCGCGGTCGACCGACCCGGTCGACCGCAGATCTGTCTGCGTGTTTTTCTGTCTTTTTTATTCCAGCTCTTGTCTCGAACTTTGGGTCTACACCTTAGACTAACAATCTCCCACTTGGAGACCAAAGTGCCTGCAATGAGTTCCCCTGAACTCTCCCCTTCTTTGCATGTATCTTTCCCCGAAAAAATTCTTCCTTCAATCAACAATATTCCGACGATCACACCGATCCTCGTAGTGTGGCTCCGCCTTCGTCTTCTACTCATGAAGGCCAACTGAAGTTACGCACAACTCCAGTTTCTCAATGGTGACTGCCTTCGTCAACATGTCCGCCGGATTTTAACTCCCCAAAATCTTCATTAAATGCACCTTTTCGTCCTCGATCAGCGAGCGTATAAAATGGTATTTGACGTCGATGTGCTTCGTTCTAGCATGATATACTGGATTCTTGGCAAGATGTATAGCGCTCTGGCTATCACAATAAAGAACTCCTCTCCCTTGCTTCAGATCCAACTCTTCCAAGCACCCGTTCAACCAGATCATCTCCTTGCTTGCTTCAGTCACCACGACATACTCAGCCTCGGTTGTAGACAAAGTCATGATCTTCTGCAGATGTGAGACCCAGCTCACTGCTGTCGACGCTAAGGTATAAACATACCCGTGGTGCTTCGTCTCGTATCATGATCACCGGCTAAGTCCGCATCCACGTATCCCTGCAGCACCAACTCCTTCCTCCTGAAACATAGTGGATTGTTCGTTGTTCCCCTCAAGTACCGCATTATCCACTTCACGGCCTCCCAATGCTGCTTCCCTGGATTGCTTGCAAATCTGCTCATAACTCCCACTGCATGGGCGATGTCCAACCTCGTGCAAACCATCGCGTACATGAGACTCCCAATGGCCGAAGAATATGGCACACTGCTCATATGCTCTCTATCTGCATCTGTCTTAGGCGATTGCTCCTCAGATAGCTTGAACTGACTTCCAAGGGGTGTGCTAACAACTTTAGCATTCTGCATATTAAACCTCTGAAGTACCTTCTCAATGTATTCAGCTTGGCTCAATCTCAATGTCCCTTTAGTTTTATCCCTACTGATTCACATCCCTAGAATCTGCTTCGCTGCACCCAGATCCTTCATTGCAAATTCCTTTGCTAGTTGCCTCTTCAAATTGTTTATCTCTTCTAAACACGGTCCTGCTACCAACATATCATCAACATATAATAACAAAATAATGAAGCTGGACTCGAACCTTTTGAAATAACAACAATGATCCGAGTTGCATCTTCTGTAGCCATTGTTCTCCATGAAGTTATCAAACTTCTTATACTACTGTCTCGGAGCCTGTTTCAAACCATATAAGCTCTTCTTGAGCTTGCACACCATCTCTTCCTTTCCTTCTTCAATGAAGCCAACAGGCTGCTTCATGTAGATTTCTTCATCCAAATCACCATGAAGAAAGGCAGTTTTCACATCTAACTGCTCAAGGAAGAGGTCTTCTGCAGCTACCAAACTCAACATCACTCTGATGGTTGTGAGTTTCACAACAGGGGAAAATATCTCCATGTAGTCTACTCCTTCCCGCTGTTGAAACCCCTTCACGACTAATCTGGCCTTGAATCTCTTGCTTCCATCACTCTCCTGCTTGACCCGGTAGACCCATTTATTGTCAAGGCTTTCTTTTGTGCAGGTAGCTGGGCTAACTCCTATGTCTCATTAGTGAGTAGAGAATCAATCTCCTCCTGCATCGCATGCTCCCACTGCTAAGATTCACTCACTTGCACTGTCTCTTCATAACACTCCGGCTCTCCGCTATCTGTTAAGAGTAGATAATCAAGTGACGAGAGGTATTTGGGATTTGGTTTGGGTACCCTAGATGACCTCCTAGGCTCCACGCCCTGGGTAGTAGCTTCTGCACCTGTAGTCTCCTCCGTTCTACGGTCAGAACTGACATTGTCGCCCCCATCTGGAAGTTCCTCCAAATCCATGTACTCGGATCCACCTGTATCCGTAGTGCTGCTCCCACTGCTTTGGCTATCATTGGCATTGTCCCTATCCTTGTACATCACCTTCTCATTGAATATCACATCCCAGCTCCTGATGATCTTCCTATTCTTTTCATCCCAAAGGCGATACCCGAACTCATCAATGCCGTATCTAATGAATGTGCACTTCTGTGACTTAGCTTCTAGCTTGTCCCTGACATGGTCACTGATATGAACATAAGCCACGCAACCAAATACCCGCAAGTGTGAGAGATTTATCTTCTTTCCACTCCAAACCTCCTCTAGAATCCTAAAATCTAATGGAACTGATGGCCCGTGATTAATCAGGTAGGCTACCGTATGCACCGCATCCGCCCAAAATATCTTAGGCAGACCTGAATGTAGTCGCATGCTCCACGCACGCTCTGTCAAGGTCCTGTTCATCCTCTCTGCAATGCCGTTCTGCTGCGGCGTCCCTGGAGTAGTCCTCTCTAAGCGAATCCCATTCGTAGCACAGAACCTCTTGAACTCCTCCAGCTCGTATTCTCCACCATTATCTGATCTCAAGAACTTTACCTTTAGATCTGTCTCGTTCTCGACCATGGCCTTTCACTTCTTGAAGATTTCGAACACCTCTGACTTGTGCTTCATGAAGTAAACTCACACCTTCCTCGAGTGATCGTCGATAAAGGTGACGTAGTATCTCGAACCACCAAAAGAAGACACACTGGCTGGGCCCCATACATCTGTATGAATTAACTCTAGCTTCTAAGCCTTAGGTGGCCTTCCATCCTTCTGGAAACTAACCCTCTTCTGCTTCCCAAAGATGTAGTCTTC